AAAAATACTGCCAGAATCTGAGTGGTTAGAACTCTGTTTTCCTAGAAATTTCATTTCCAAACAATAAAAAGAAGCCTGTGAGCTTGGTTTCTTCATTTAAAACTTATGTTTAAACAACTGGTAGAGCTACAGATACCTTCTTACGTACATTTTGATTTGGTATAAAAATATGTTGATGACATGATGACCAACAAAAAAATGATCTAAAGCCTTGAATCCCAATACACTAATAGATAATTATTCCCAGAAAGAACTGTTTCTGATAACAATAGTAAAAATAAAAAATGTAGAATGAGGCAAATCTATGTCAACACCAACAACAAAACGTCTAACGTATAAAACTGATCTGATAAGGCCAACTCATTCAGGTATTTGGGAATATCTTTTGAACTCATTTATTCTGAAGAGCCCCCCAAGAATGCAATCTCAACAAACTTAATTGTATAAGAACGAGATGATGCTGAGATGAAACCTAAAACTTTTCAAGCCTCATTGCATGAAACTAAAATCTCAAATGAGCAGTTGTTCAAATGCTGAGCAAATTCTAAGCTTTATTGAATTACTGTTTAATTTATTTTTACTTGTAGTAGTATTTAGTGTATTAGGAAGCCCTCTGGCATCAAATTTTCAAATATTAGATGAAAGAAGTATTTTGGGAAAATATATACCAAGACACCACATTTTCACATAGAATGTGAACTGTGTTTTATGTATATTTAGTGTGTGAAGTTTAATATTCTCTTCAACCAATAATTAAATGTATTTCAACAAATCTTTATTGAATTCTCACTATGTTGAATATAATACCACAAGCATGGTGGGGGAAATAAATGAAAGAAATAGTTCCTACCCTCAAGGAGTTTACAATCTAGCAGGACTAACTTCAAATAATCATACTGGCAGAAATAAGCCAATACCAATTCCCAGCCATACGAGTGAACCATATTGGAAGTGATTTAGATGAAAATTTGGGGCCAATATGATAATGCGATGAGACTGTGGGCATCTTGGGAGGAGGGTGGAACATTTTGGACGTGGAAGGTATGTGAATTGTGGTAGCCAGCAGGTGAACTATGGTAGACAGTCTCCAGAGATGACTGCCTTCATTCCCTTTGCTTCCCGCACATGCTCCTCACATCAAGCAACAGAGAATAATCCCTCTCCCCTTGAATCTTGGCTGACCTTAGTGACTTGCCTGATTAACAGAATGTAGTGGAAATGACCTTCTAGAACTTCTGAGGCTATGTCCTAAGAAGTCCTGCTGTTTCCACCCAGGTAACTTTCTCAGAGTTCTGCTTTGGATAGATTCCTCTGATAACTACATGAATAAATTAGGGGCACAGTGAAATTGAAGATAAAAGGGCAAGAAGCCATTGCAGTAGTTCAAGCAAAACATAAAGGATGGCTCAAAACCAGAAAGTAATAGGAAAAGAGGAGATGATTGATGTTAGAGATGAGAAAGGCAAAATCCAAAAGACTCCACTTGATGAAACTTAAGGAATAAGAAAAGGCAGAAGTCAAAGTGGTTCTGGGGTTTCAGCACCTAGACAACTAAAAAGAGAATGATGCTATTAATCAAGACTGGGATCCAAAAGAAAAGCACCTATAGAGAAAACCAGAGGAAATTACTTTAGTGGTGTTGGGAGGCCACCCACAGAGAACCATTCAACAAGTACATGGCAATGGGGGTATCAAGTGTCTTTTCTGGAATTAAGTACTTTTTATATCCAGCTGATATTCTGAAGTCACCCAAGCCCAGAAGACACTGACTTTCTTTGTGTCTCCACAGTTAATGGTTTCTTTTCAAATTAATCCCTTCTTTTTCCAGCCAAAAGAGATGTAGGACTCCTTACCAATAAACACCTTGCTAAAAATTATAAGCACTGAAGGGTAAATTTGCAATAGCCGTTTGAATAAATTACTCTCAAACTAAAAACGTTTCTACTTGAAAGATTAAATTTTCAGAATTATAGAAGCTATCTCAATGTAATTTTGATAATATACTTGGCATTCAGAATTCTCCACCTTATAAACAAGTTCCTTTACACCTTGTCAAACCACGTGGCTTCGTGGCCTGTGCTATGGCAACATTTATGCCCACTCTGCACAGACGGAACACTGAAAGAAGACTGAAATCTCTGCTTGTCTGCCTTTCACTTTGCAGCCTGGGTGTCCTAAAAGCTCCTCATCCTCTAAGTCTCTGCATTAACTTTCTTTACAATCACTTTCCTTAGGCAATTATGAACGCAGAGAGAAACAGAAACATCGTTTAAGGATTATTTAAGGCTAGAAAATTTATGACTTGTTCAGGGTACCCTAACTTTTAACTCTTAAGTGTACCCGCTTCTGTATAAAGACTATGAATGCATACACTACACAGCTCTCATAACCTTGTGAACTAAATTAGGAACATCGACATGTACTACTTCACTGTCAGCAGATTACAGACTACTTTTTAAATACTCACAAACTAAACTGTTAGGTTCTAACAATAATTAACATTATTAACAGCATGATCAAATTCATTTACATTTACTATTTAAATTGTATAGGTTTAGATCAGTGTTTCTCAACCTTTTTTACATTAGAAACTCCTTAAAGACTCCTTTTAGACATTTTTTCCTCATCATTCCTCCACAGAATTTTAATACTACACATGAAATGTATGTCTGTTATGTACTAGTATGTATCTGTGTTTTATATATTAAAAAGAGTAAGTTTTTTTGACCCGCCCCAAGAACCAATTTTTACCCTCCTGGGGAGGATATCTCCCACACTGAGAATGCATGTTTTATTTAAATTAATAATTTGTTGCTCAAATAAGAATTACCCTTATAACTAATCAAAATAATGCTAAGCCTTAGAGTATCATAGAAGACCCATGAAGAACACGAGAAAGAATCTCAGCCACATCTCCGAAACTTTCAATTTAAAGACAGCTCAGTATCTGCTAAATAAAACTATCAATGAATTCTTCCATTTTAAAGGCCACCATCATTCCTCCATCCTCCCCTGGTTTTACTGAGAGATCAGTAACTCAGATAATTTGTAACTAACAGATAAAATATAGATCTTAAAACCAAAAATATAAGTAGTTCTATTCATGAGGCTCTAAAGTACAAAACGGATCGTAAAGGTAAAAATAAGAATCTGATAATCATATGTATTCCCAATTCACCTAACTGTGGAAATGGTAGCACTGATATTTGGTAAAAAGGAACTGTGAAGAAATAATATTAAGATGAAAAACACTATTTAAATACAAACTGTTAAAAGGAAATATCAAAAAGCGATCATTTTACTAATAGCCTATTTAAAATAGACTATTTATGTTTATCTATAATTAAAATGACTTAATTTAAAGCTCAAAATATATTTCTCCTTAATGAATACAACTATATCTCCTAACTTTCTTCCTCCAGTATAAGGAAGGCTAAATTATCACTTACTGCTGACTAAGGTAAGGACAGTAGGAGGAAGAGAAACCACAGGGCACATCTCTTCCTCTGACCCATCATGGCCCCATCCCCTCTGCACCCCACCCACCCTAAGATGCACCCACAGGAAGACTATTTTGGGGTAGGCATGGGACATGAATTACTTGTAGCAAGCATAAGCCATTCATACGGTCAGCAAAAACAAAGATCTTCCCCCCACCAAAATAGAAAAAGGTAAAAAAAAGTTAAAAGATAAGAGGATTATGCCTAAGCCAAACAGATTTACTAACACCACAGTCTACGAGGGACATGATATTTAAGAAAAAGCCAAATAACCCTGCAGTCTATCTTGGACATGATATTTAAGAAACAGCCATATAACCCCACATGCATTGAAACGTCACTTATTTTAAGACAAAGAAAACATTTGGTGATTGCAGTATCATTATTCTTTCATCCTAATTACGGCTTGGCAATATGAAAGCCTTTGACTTCAGCAAGACTTTAAAAACTTTCTTTTCAAGTTAATCCCTTCTTTTTTGGCCAAAAGAAAGAGACGTAGAATTTCTTTACTATTACTTTAGTGATACTTTACTATTGCTAAAAAAATACTTTTCTTGTTCTAAAGTATGAGCTGTATACGTTTTAAGTCTCTACTTACTGAAGAAATTTAGTCAGCTAAGGCTTGAAATCTTAACTTTACTAGCAACTGTACATTTTCTGTAATACTTTAATTCCACTTATTTTAAAATAATTTTAATAAAATACACCTAGTTAAAACCACAAATTACTCCTTACAATTATTCTTTTATCCTGCAATTTGGAAGAGATGATAAGAAATTTCTCAATTTAGACAGTAAAAAGTTATATTAAAAAAATACACTGCGTATTTGGGAGTACACTGGATACTAACTGACTGATATTTGATCGTTAAAAACAGGTAACTTGGTTAAATAATTGCCAATAAAAACATAAAACATTTCTTTGCAAATCTGAGACAGCCACCAATTAAATGTCCCATTTTTAGGTTAACTGAACACTTTTCTCATTTACCTTAACATAAATCAATAGTGCTAAAATGAGGCAGGTCAACCAGCACAATGACAGCTATCTAGTAAATAATTTACAGTAAAAGCACTTATCTTCTGACAATAATTAAGTTCCCTTCTTCATTTAAAAATTTAGGATCAGGGATTAATGAAAGCAAGTAAAGAAAAAGTTAATCAAGAAAAAATGTACTCTGAAAGTAATCAATATTATAAATATAAGGCAATTTTTTATCATAAAGTTACATATTTACCATCTCACATCAAATATCTGTAAGTAATACTGTTATAATAGTTTATTCGGCCATCAGTGCACCAAGGTCTGTGTTAGCTATTAGCACTGAACATGACACACTCATGAGGGAAAATTCATTTCTTCAGAAAAATGTTTTAAATTAATAAATTGATTAAATGAAATACTGCCTCAAAATATATGCTGGTTACAGAATAAAATCATAAAAATCAAAAAAGTCAAGGCAGAAAAGTGGTAAAAGTTTATGAGAAATCATGTATTTACCTTGGCTCCGCACTCAGCTTTATTACACTTTTTCGTGGCAAAGAACTTTGTGATTTTTGTGTTAAATCCTATAAAAAATAACAAAAATTATTAATTTACTTTTAAAACTAGTTTCAAAATTATTTACGTAATAATACCTTGCAAAAATCATGAAAAGGGCACCACAGGAAAAAAAATCCTTTTTCCAGCTATATAAAGTCCATCAAAGTTCAAAATAGATAATTCTTGTGTGTGTGCATGTGTATACATGTATTTACACTCCAAGTGCAGATACGCTACAGGGACTAGAGTCCATAATGGGTAGTTCCTCTTATGAACCAAATAAATCAGGGTTCTAGAGATAATTCTGCAAAAAGTTTTACTACTTTACTTTTATATGATGTTTCATATCCTTAAGAAATGTATGTCCATTTATTGTATTTTTTACTCTAATATGAAAACGTATAATCATAGTCTGATTATAAGCAGCAGTCTATAGAAATATTGAAGCTGTATCTCTGACTCCAGATGTGTAAATTCAAATTACATGTAAAATTTCAAAGCCTATCATTCACAATAGATTCCAATGATAAGTAAATTACAATTTTAAAATATCTGAGTTGCCAAGTGGAAGTGTGAAGAGGATGGTAATCAACCATTTTTTTCAACTGTTCTTTCTTGCTGCAGAACAGCGTGTTCTTCCTTACAGAGCAGTCTGCTCTACTACCTCATCTGATCCTATTAGCGACATAAGCCATGGAGATATTATCGTCCCATTTTACAGATAAATGAATGAGGGCTCAGAGATGTGAAGCCACTGTTTCAAGGCGCACACAATCAGGTGCAGAGGTTGAGCTAACAGCTAATCTCCTAACTCCTCCATCACTGCCCTACTGTTACACGTATCTCAGCACCGCCCACAGCATGGACTCATCCTGAAAACAGAAAGCAATTTAGGATCATTCAAACTGAAGGTTAGCAAGAATACATTAAGAATTTACAGAAGTTTAAATATCAAGGGGCTTCTCATTAAAGCCAAGCAAAATAACTAAGTATAATGTCCAGTTACCTTACAATATCATCTAAACAGTGTTCTAAAAGCTTCTACATTCCACATACCCTGAAATAAATTCAGTGTTTTATTTTTCATGCTTAGATTTAGTCAGAACAAAAGACACACTATAAATCAAACAGATACACTTAAGAGGAAAGAAGAACACACAGGTAATTTATATAAACGGATACAAATTCTTTCAAATAATATAAAAAGAAATAACTATATTTCAATGTTTCTGTTCATTAAGCTTATCATCCCCTTTTCCAATCCAAGAACAAAAGAATCACATTTTTATGATGAATATAGAAGATATCAACTAACCATTTCTAGGACGGTATCAGTAGAGTCATATGAGTATTTGTCCTTCAAGATAAGTAGTAGTGCAGAATTCCCAATTATCTTCCTCAAATTAATGAATGAATGAAAGAGTCTGTGAAAAACAAAAATTTTACTAGACTGAGAAGTAATTCAAACATCTGTACACAATATTCTTAGTTTCTGTAATAATGCTGAAACCACCATTACCTTCGTCCTGTATTCTAAGTGAAACCTATAATGAATCTATAATGAATTGACTTTTTTTTTTTTTGCCCATAACTATGTACTTAGAAAAAAGTGGTTTATCAGAAGATATCATTGATAAAGATTCATTTAAAACAGAAAACTTTCTGGACACACCTGAAACACATACACTTATTCAAACTATTTATACTTTCTCTGAATATTATTCCAAATACTAAGAATGTCCAGCATAATCACTTTGTTAGCTTTAAGGCATTCCACCAAAAAGTAAAGATTTGATACTTTACTTTAGAAAAGTCTTTAACAAGCATTGAAACAACAACAGAAGACATGAGATCAGCTTGTTCACAAGAAAATTCAATCAGTATAAACACTTCAAAGAATTCAAATTCCCAAGAATTCAAACAGCTATTTCATTGAATTTAATTTCATTTTCTTGTTGAAGAGAATAAGAAAAACGAAAGTTTTTCACAGGTCTGGATAAGGAAATCGTCTGTCCTTGCTACTTTTCTTGGTCATCGAAACTGTTAACTGTATTCAAATTGTATTTTTATGTCTGAGGAACCAAAGGGATGTTTATGAATCAAGTGATTCAAGATCAATTCGTGGATATAATCTTGGTACATTATCAGCTATTGCTGAAGTACTACGCATGCGAAAAGAATTTGCTTAAAGTTTTCTTCAAGCTCAATCTTGTTTCTTTAAAGCTTTATAGAGCAGGAAGGCATCCCTAAGTAAACTCATATTGGAGAAATTTGTAGACAAACATTGCTAACCATGTTTTCAATTAACCACCAGACTGAAACTACTATGTTTACAGAGTGACTATATTATTTTGCCCAACACAGAAAGCAATTTTGGATTTGTGCATTAAAAACATTTTGGTTGGCATGCAACAACAAAAAATTAGTAAAAGAATTAGAAATCACTTGTTTTTGCAGAGCATAATCTTCAAAGATGTATATGATCATGATCAATAAATTATTAATTAAATAAACTGACATAGTAAATCTATAAACATAGTGTTAAAATCTTATGAACTTGAATTCAGGTCATCCTCCAGCTAAATTTCTCAGTCTATTCAAATGTTTCCCTAGATAATAACTAGTGTTCTCATCAGACTAAAAGACCATAGGAATGAATACAATCCAGTTATGGAAACAAATCCCTCAATCTAAGTTTATTTTTATTATCTACATTGCTATCTGTATTAGGTCTTCTGAACCTACAGAATAAAAGTCATGCTCTCCAACAGCTAAAACCTTATATGTATTATAGCGTATTAAAGAGTCCTAATTAAACTGAGCGAATGCACGAATCAATGTTCACACCCCAAAGGCACACATGCAGTCTACTAATGAGATGAACACGAAAGACTAGCACAGCATTCCCCAAAAGCTATCTCAAGATATAGAAAGCTGTTTTGTTTAAAACTAAACTAAACACAGTAAGTGCGTTTGGGAAATACTGGGTAAAACAAAATTTTAAATGTTTCAACATTTCATCAATGTGAGATTTCTCAGAGCCTCTAATTTCCTAACATGTCCTTATCCTGTTATTATGGAACAGTTCAGGGAAGATCACTTAGGAATCAGAATCTTCTAGTTTGTTATCATTGCTGCTGTTTCAAGATGTCATTACGTTTGTCATTCAATAGTTGGATCTACATGTTGGGACCCTCACACTCACCCTTTGTTCATTTTTCTCCTACCTACCTTAATTAAAAGTTAATTAGAACTGGCAAAATTCTAAATCTTTCTGTAACTGATCTTATTCTCATCCACACAGCCCCGTTATCCACTTTTAAGCTGAATATCCATTACAAACACTGTCCCAGTCTAATTCATTTTTTTCTGCTATGATTAGAATTTCCAAATATGGCATGATGCATTCCCACTCTTCAGTTTATAATTACACAAACATTCAATCTACTGTTGAGAGCATGACTCTAAGAGTCATCCTTAGATGGAAAGAGAAAGCTAGAAGGGCCTGGAGTGCTGATGGCATTGTGAAGCTGTCATATCTGAACCAGTGGCCTGCAGACTTCTTCCATATGGCATAAAAATAAGCAGGATAGGATTTATCCTGTTTTGGGTCACTGTTACTAGCAACCAAATGCAACCCCTAATTCATACACTTGTACACAGGAACATTTATGCCAACATCTGAATAAACAGTAGTCAATAGTCCAAGAAAAGAGAACACCCAATGCTAACTGCCTCTGTTTATAATTCTCTAACTTGCGTTTTGAAATTTCCTACTTAAAATGTCTATGCTAATGACTTGATAATTGTTTATTACTTTTCAATGAAGTGTGAAGTGCTCACAAAGCAAATTTACAAATGTCCAGTACAATTTGAGAATTATTGTCTTTTTTCTCTAAGATGCAATTTTGTACAGGGATGTTTTTACAAGCTAAAAGGAATACAAACATCTGTAGAAATTAATGACAGGCCTTCTGGAAAGATTATGAGACAGAAAACGTTCTGTAGCAAAAATTCAATGACCTGTATCCAAATCTCCTTCAATATGGCAGCCAGAGAGGGAGAGCAAGTAGGTAGTGTAGGAGAATGACTTTTGTATTTTCTCTTAGGAGCTCTGCTCTGCTCTGATTCTAAGCAGCCTCACTTTAAACTCTCAATAAACTAAGAAGACAGGAGCAAGTGAGAAGAAAAAATGGAGCTATTACTTTCAAAAATGCTTTCTGTGGGAGAAATACCAACATCATTATCATTCAATGAGTGTTTTCCACTTTAAGTCCAGCTCAATTTCAACAGATGGATGTCAAATACATTTGCCACAAGAATATTTGGAAGATATTCAAGATACTACCTTGAATATATTTTTTAAGGACTCAGGTCAGTTAACGAAACCTCAAGAATATTTTTTCCCTAATTTCTAGAAAGGCAGTCAAAATATTGTAACTAAAAATTTAATTAACACTTATTACAACTGGTAATATCAGTTGCGAATCAATTTTTTAATGTTGACTTTACGTGCTGTGTACACTTTCAGAAGAAAATATTTATAAAAAGAGATTCATTTTTAAATCTATAAGAAAACCACAGCATATTTTTAATAATTCTAAAATACTATCAAAGCACACCATTGTTCTTAGGGAGAAAAATATGGAAGAAACAATAATCTAAACTATAGTAAAAGAACAGTCAAAACTCCTTCCCCACTGTAGGAATCTTCTTTGCACTGATCCTAATGAATGGTAATCTGAACTCTGGCATGACATGGAAGTCCCACTATGGCAAAGTGTAAGCTTCTCCATTATGGGGAAGCACTATTTTCAAAGTCCTCTGCTATTCTGAGCCAAAACCTGTACTCATTGTTCCCAATTCTGCAATCCGAAAATAACTGAGCTTCTGCCCTTTCATTCATCTGACAAGTCTTCAAAGAGCTGAAGATGGCTTTGATATCATACGCAGGCCATCTCTTCTCATCCTAATTTCTCATATTATCCATGTATGACAACGTTCCTAGGTTCTACTTCCTGGCTCTGCTTCTACACTAATACTTTTTTGTCAATGTCCCTCTAAAAAAAAAAAAAGAGGTATCCAAGAACAACTGGCTATGAAATAAGATGAAATTAAACTGCTATACAATGAAGTAGGGCTCTTTAGCTCCCTGGATTATAACCATGATTTATTTGATACCAAATCCTTAGTCAAGAAGGCAATCCCAATTACCACACTGTACTTAAGAGAAAATAGGATCAGTTCTATAATAATGTTTTACTACTCCACTTGCAGAAATGCACTGCAATAAAAAGTTGAGACAGCTAGTACTTTGTCAACAGATTTCTTGAAAAACGCTTTGAACATTGGTGGTGTTTTTCTACAGCAAAATTTATGAGAGATATCATTACTAATGTGGTCTGATATACATTAACAACTTCATCAAAAGATACAAGCTTACAACTTGAAATTTAAAAAGATGTTGTTTTAAGATCACTTTTCAATAATTATATTACCTGGTACCATAATCCACAACCACCCAATCCTTTGCGGTTCCTGTGATAGCATCATGATGTTGAAACAGTCCCAAATTCCTTCTGGCTTCTGTCAGCGCCATATAATAGGATGATGAAAGAAATTTACTTATCTTGTATTTCTGAGCTTGTTGCAGGGCGAAATAGTAAAGAATTTCAGCAGCCCTAATTGCATAAAACAGTTATTAATTTTTATTTCAAGATATTTTCGTTTACTATTTAAAATATTGACATTGATACATTTTCAAATTTGGTTTTTAAAAAAATCCACAATTTCAGTACAAACAATTTATAAGAAAGATATTGATAACAAACATTTCTATAAAACTACCAAGGTATCCATCTAATATATCTAAATTCTTCATCATCAAAGAACATCACATCTATGCTGATATAAGGGGCCCTTGTTCGAGATGGTCCTAGAAGGAAGCCAGTACCTACTGGCAAGCAAGATGGGTTTACTTATGTATAACCCAGTGAAAAAATACCTCAACACAGTAGTAAGAACTAGACAAATGTTTCTGTCCTTTCTTCTCTCCAAAAGCAGTGCAGACATATACCATGGACATCACCAGAAAGCCATTTACTCTCATACATGTACTTTTAAGAGGAGAGGTGGCAGAAAATGCATGGTCACATGAGTAGACTAAATGTAAAGGAGAAGCAAAAAATGATGGCCCCCTGGCTGAGTGACAAGGGTTAGTCTAGGTACTGAATGATAACAGACAATTATAGAGAATTTAACAACATAAACTGAAAGATGATAAAACATATGCTGTCTTTTCTCATTTATTTTAAAGCAAAGAAAAAATACTTTAGTCTAAGAATAGCTTTTGAGCAAGAATAAAGGGGTTTATGATTTTCACCTTTTTTCATCAGAGGATATGGTTCAAGATAGGTTTCTAAAAAAGCTCTTTAAAAAAAGACAAGGCTTGACGGAATAAAAAATAAAAGAAGGTTCTTTATGCCAAACATGTTAAGGACAACAGGGAGAAAATCAAAGCAGCTTGAAAATGTATCAAGATATCAGGAAAAAGGAGAAATTCAAAGTGTATTTATAAGAAAAAAAAAGAATTCCTTAAATTGCTGAAATAATTAAATACTAAATAATCTCCACCTTTAAATTCTAACCCTTCCGAAATTCATGGCATGAGAACTGCTAAATTTGAATTAAGGAAATTGTGTGTATTTGTTCACATACATCCATAGCAAATATCCTAGTTTTGAAAAGAGTGCTCATACACCTAAATACCTCAAAATGTAGAAAAGTGAATTTTAAGAATATTTTCTTTATACTTTTCTATTTTATCCATATTTTTTACAAATGGGCATTAGGATGAAATATCACTATTCTGAGACAATAAACTTATGTTCAAATAAATTGATTACATTTTGAAATTGATAATTATTATATGGTGTTTTGTTGGTTTATTTTAAAGCAGTCGAATTTTCAAAATTTATTACCAGCAATAACTATTTCACCTTAAATAAGTTGAATAAAGTAACATTGAACCAACATTCAGCTCTGCCACTAAAAAATACCTGACCCTTAAAAGTCATGCAGGGGTCCAAAAGAATCTCTACAGTATTTAGTACTTGCTCTGTTTTTATTAGTGACACTTTAGAATAACGTAATAGATAATTAATTAACATTCTATTAGGTAAGAATGCATAAAACTCTATAATATATAAATACCATTTTATTATAAATACAATACTATGTGTTTATTTGGCATATTTGTGAATATCCCCCAAAAAAACCAGTCAAAGGTTAGGCTTTTGAAAAGATGATAACAGCACAACAGTAAAAATAAGAACACATCCTACTATATCAAAGCCCAACTCTTGAAGAAATTCATGATTTTTATCAAAAGGATTTCTGAAATGTACTCAATTTCCACTGGTACACAGAAAAGGGTAAGTACAACTTTTTCTTTTTTGGTTAGGAAGATTGTTGCTAACATCTGTTGGCAATCTTTCTCTTTTTGCTTAAGGAAGATTGTCACTGAGCTAACATCTGTGCCAATCTTCCTCTGTTTTGTATGTGGGACACTGCCACAGCGTGGATTGATGAGCAGTGTCTAAGTCTGCATCTGGGATCCGAACCCACAAACTCCGAGATGCCAAAGCGGAGCACATGAACTTAATCACTACGCCACCAGGCCAGCCCCACAACTTATTTTTAATACCGAGATTCACCATGAAAAGTAATCATCATGAAAATTAATCATCAAGAATTCATGATTTGAACTGAATTGAAAATAAATTCATAATGAAAAGAAATTACTCTCCCAGGCTACACACACTTGGAAAAGGCCTCAGGAGTCCCTAAAACAAAAAGCAATCACACTCTGTTACTTAGAACTGTAGTCTCCACCGTGATAGCTGCTAGCCACACATGGCTATTTACAGTTAAATTAATTAAAATTAAATGAAATTAAGAGTTCAGTTCCTTAGTCGCACTCGTCACATTTCAAGGTCTCAATATTACATGCGGCCAGTGGCTATCATATAACACAGTGTAGAAATAGAAATAGAATATTTCTATCACTGCAGAAAGTTCTATTGGACAGTGATTGAAAGCTCTACTGGATAATGCCAATTTAGCCTGATTTTATGTCTTCTATTGACTTTTCTGTCTTATCCATGTCAGTTTACTTTTTTAACCAAGCACTCTGCCCCCATCAGTTCTCAGCTCTTTCAAATTTTATTCTTTAAGTAGAAAAGCATGCCTATAAAAATGTGTTTCAAATAAATAAATAAGAACTGAGATGGAGCCTCTAAAGTTCTCCCACATTAGTTTAGCTTTAGAGCATGTACTTTGAGGCCCACGCTTTGGCTGCTGAGAGGCCCTGTTTGCTCCTTTTGACCCTTGCCCCTGTTTCCAACAATTCAGCCTGCTTGAATAACAACCTGCAGACACACAGGACGATGTCACTGAATAATATCATGAGGTGCAAATAATACAGGTGTTAATTAGAAAAATAGAAAACACAGAATACAACTCCCAGAAAATCTAATTACATAATTGCCTTTCCTTCCAGAACAAAAACCCACGTAATAATTTTATTATGCTTTGGAGACATATTTCTGATTGCATTAAGATTTCACAATCACATTAAGCACATCCTAATACTGCATAAATGTTGTAGATTATGCAGAACTCTACAAAAACGCTATGATAACATTAAAAAAGTGCATAAATAAACATAGCTATCTAAAGATAAATGTACCTTAAGTAAGATTCCAATATCCTATCCATTCGTTTGTAAAAGGGTCTTGATGTAAAGTAGCCACTCCAGTAATGATCATCTCGGTCGGCATAGGTGAAAAAATCTCCACTCAGAACAGGGAACATTGATTGGCTATTCTGACGGGTTGCATCTTCTTTATCCACTGCATCAAAATAATCTGATAATGTCCCAAACTGTATCTGGTAAAAAAAAAAAAAAAAAAAAAAGTTACATTTGAATTATTTATCTCTACCTTAAAATTTCTCCTAGCACCGAAAGGAAAATTTACTAATAAATATTTAAGATGCTGCCTCCAAGTTAAGATGAATATATAGCTTAGATTTTACAAAACTCAAAAGCAGGGGAAAAAATACTCAGTGACTCTTTCTTGACTTGCATCAAGTACCAAATTAAACTAAGAGAAAACGTGTACATTTAAGCTCTTCTTAGAAGAAGAGCTATTTAAATCTACAGATTTGTGGATCTGAAAACTCCTTACACATCTCTAGAATTTCAAAGAGGGCAAGGATCAGGGCATGGAATAATACAGACTTGAATGAAGGACAGAGGAAGCAGCAATAATCAAAGACATTTTGAGCAAAATGTTCTAGAAATCTGGAAGAACAGTTTTGTTAGTCATTAAGTATTTTCATGTATCATATGCACATACCCTCCCTTGGCCTCTCCTTCCCTCTAGTTTAAGTTCTTACAAGAGAGAAAGGAGAGACTTTAAGAATAGCAGGTCATTAAAAAAAAATGCACTTTCTCTACCAGCAGGTAACACTGAATAGAAGAAAAACACAAAGAGAGACAAGAATTGCAAGGTTGACTGCTCAAATGAAAGGTCTTTCTGACTAATGATTTAAATTCCCAGTACATAAATCCACCTTTATGAGCCTAAACTAGTCTATAAATCAAAAGAAGAAAGAAGCATTATACCAGACCCTGTAAACAGATATTAAAAGGCAGCGTTGTTAGATAGAAACAGATAATTCAATAGGGAATGTGTTCCCTTTAATAGTAAGACACTAATTTTGTATTTTCCTACCTTATATATACATACGTAAACATACACATTCACACACACAAAGATATTGAAGGCCATTTGGATTCAACATGTCAGAAAAATAACTAAAAGCAGTTAAAAACAGTTAGCAGCACTCTAGCAGAGTGTTTAAGAGCAGCCAGAACCTGGATCCAGATGGCATGGGTTTGACTTCTCTCTCTACCACCTACTAACTTGTGGTTTTGAGCATACTATATAATGTCTATGTGTCTTTCTGTGTTATAGCCAATAAGGTTCTAAGTAAAATGCTTAGAAACACAACCGGTAAATAATGGGGTAAGTTTTAACTATTATTTCTCCATTGCAAAGGCAAAAAAAATTTCAACTGGAAACAACAATGGTATTAGCAAGACAAATATGCTATTATAATCTAATTAAGATACGATAAATTTTGTAACAGCAAAATAGATGATTATTTTTAAATCCTGTTTACACTAAAGAAAAGCAATTTTCAACTATATTATCTACTCTTATGCTGGCTTCACTAAATACATGTGTCTTGGGCAAGTTAATCTATGTGTGCCTCAGCTTCCTCATCTATAATGGGAATAATTATAGTACCTACCAGAATATGTTCAGAGAATTAAACAAAGTAAAGCACTTTAAAAAGTTAAAGCAAATAATAAGCACTCATACATTTTAGCTAATATTGTATTATTATTCATTTATTGCATTACAAAGAAGCAGAATATAAGCATATGTGTAACCATACAAGAAATGAGGGTCACAAATATAAGGAAAAATGGCATTAACTTCAGACCCAATAGGTACGGATGGGCTCAGGGAAGTATACATAGTATAGTGGCAAAATAGTGAACGATCTAAATATTTTTTAGTCTCACTTTGCTGATCTATATAAGAGATTTCTATTAGATAAAAAAATCCCTTTCAGTTTCAGATTTTAGGGAACTATGGCATGCTACAGAGTTGATATTAACAATCAGTATACCCTTTAAATATATTTCAATTAATTTTTGGTATTAACCAGGATGAAAATACTTCCTTCTTGGCAACTTCCCAGAGCAAAGTTTATGTAAGAAGCCTAGTGGGCTTTCTCACAAACTTAATTCAATCTTAAAGGATTCAAATATAATCCTGTATCTATGTTAGAGTAGTTTCAAAAGAAATTATTTCAAGTAAATTCTTTGTCATGGAGTCTCTTGGTAGTTCAAATAAACTAAATATTTGGGATACCTAAAAAAAGAAACCCCAAAATTTAAATGGTTTTTACATTAAAAGGCAACTAATTAAATCTTAAACATAACAATCTTAAAGATAATCTTAAACTCCTCTATCAGGACAACACATAGGAAAAATTACACAAATTGTTAAATCAGTGGTGATCAATGGCAAACTGGCTGTCTTGGCTAATCCAATGTGAAGTTTTTAGCCATCTAAACTCAATTACTCACTTTCATTAAAAGAAAATAATAATAAACTTATGCTTACAGCTTAGACAAAGTAACTTTAAACATCCCAGAGAATATATATAATTAGATAAACTATACAGAGAAAAAAAAATTTGAAGATATCTGAGGGCAATCAAAGCAGCCAGGACTTGAGGGACAAACATTCTAGAAAGAAAGGAAATGCATCAAGGTTATGGGATACAAGGTTAAAAAACAAATGTCAATTGTACTTTTATATACAGAATATATCATGTTCATGGATTAAATGGCCTAATATTTGAAAAGAAATTAATTGTACTTAAATTGATCCATGGATTCAATGCAATCCCCCAAAAAAATCTCAGCTTTTGGTGGTGGGGGCAGGCAGGGTGTGTGTAGAAATTTACCAGTTGATGCTAAGCAAATGCAGAACTACAAAGAATTAAGAATAACCAATGTAATCTTGAGAAGCAGAACAAAATTAGAGGACTTATACTATCAAATATTAAGTTCTATCATAAAGCTGTAGTAATTAAGACAGCATGAGATTAGTCAAATAGACAAAACTGAATGGAGAGTCTAGACACCGATCCACACAAATACAGTCTCACTCAAAATTAATGACAAAGATGGCACTGCAGTGCAATGGGCAAACTATGGTCTTTTCAATAAAGGCTGCTGGATATCCATATGGGCAAAAATGAATTTTGATCTCTATTGTCACATGATTCACAACCATCAATTCCAAACAGACTGTAGATCTAAATGTTGAGTACAACAATAAAGCTTCTGGAGGGCAGCTTCATAAGAAATGCATTTTCATGACCATGGGGTAAACAAAAACTTCTTCAACAGAACATAACAAGCACTAACCATAAAGGAAAATATTGTTACATTAGATTTAATTAAAATTAAAAATTTCTGTTCATCAAAAGACAGCATTAAGAGAAAACACAGGCTACAAAGTGAAAGACAACATTTGTGTAACTTTTAACGGAAAAAAGACTCAGTCTAAAATAAATAAAAGAACTATTAATGGTAAGACAGACAACTCAATTTAATAAAAACTCATCAAAAGACTTAAACAGGCACTTCACAAAAGAGGATACCCAAATAGCCACAAACTTACAAAGAGGCTCAACCTCATTAACTACCAGGGAAACACAAAATAAAACCATCAAATCTATCACAAAGGATAAAATTTTCTTTTTAAATGATAACACAAAATGTGAGTAAGAAAATGGAGCCCCTGAAATGCTCATACAATGCAACAATTAGTGCATCTATTTTGGAACATTGTTTGGCAATATCCACTAAAGTTGATTATGTGTATATCCAATGACCAAAAATCCTATCCCATTTTAGACCCATATAAACTTATACACATGTATACCAAGACATGCACAAAATGTTCAAAGTAGCTTTATTTCTAATAGACAAAAAAATGGAAACAACCTAAATGTTCACCAAGAATAGAATGGGTAAGTTGTGGTATATTTATCAAATGGATACTCAAGATACACACAGCATTAAAAATGAATGAACCACTGCTACATCCAACATAGATGATTCTCACAAACGTAACATGGAGCAAAAAAAGCCAGACACAAGATAACACACACTTAAGATTTCTTTCTTATAAATTTAAAAACAGTCAATACTAATCTTGGTGATAGAAGTGAAAATAGTGGTTACTTTTGCAGGAGTTAGTAACGATTCGGAGGACATCTGAGGGACTCTTCCAGAGTGCTATAAATGTTCTACGTCTTGATCGGGTTGATAGCTACATGGGGGCTCTTAAACTTGATAAAAATCTCTGTACAACTATGATTTGTGCCCTTTTCCTATGTGCGTGATACTTCAATTTTTAAAATTACTTCAAAAAGTTGTTCTAGTGGGCAAACAAGGAAGAAATAGGTAAAATAGTAAAATCAGGATTTAATTCTTCAGAATCAGGCAGTAATGTCTTCTATGGACCTCAAACCGTTCTCCAGGAAGATGTATTTAGAGATAAGATACCCACATATACACGCACGCCCTCCTCTAATCAAGGTTTCATGTATGAGCTTCATCTTTGAGATTATAGAAATGATTTAAACACAGTCCTGATGCTCAGAGCTCACACCGTGGTAGAAATTCAATGGTAACTATCTTAAATAAATGACATTTTATTTATTTATCTATTTGATATTATTCAAGTTTACTTAATAAACTTGAATTCTCATTACATAAAATATGATCCATCATCAGCTTTCTAATTTCCTACACAGTAACATCCCTTCCTTTCTACAGTATTTTCACAGATCTTCTACTGTCTTAAAGGTTACCATGTGAATATAGTAAACATGTTGGATAATTAATTTTCTCATATAGGGTCTAATATATGACTCTTGTGTGAATCTTGACTCATACAAAGTATCTGTTTAAAAAATGCTTGTATGAAATCAGGAAAATTTGAATCTATCTGGATATACGATACTATTGAATTACTGTTAATTTTTTAGATGTGATAATGTTATCAACATTATATTTTTAGGGGCTGGCCCTGTGGCTGAGTGGTTAAGTTCACATGCTCCGCTGCAGGCGGCCCAGTGTTTCGTTGGTTCGAATCCTGGGTGTGGGCATGGCACTGCTCATCAAACCACACTGAGGCAGCGTCCCACATACCACAACTAGAAGGACCCACAACGAAGAATATACAAATATGTACTGGGGGGCTTTGGGGAGAAAAATGAAAAAAAAATAAAATCTAAAAAAAAAAGATTATATTTTTAAATAGAGTCCTTTATCATTTAGAGATACATACTGGAATGGTTACAGATGAAACTACATGACATCTGAGATTGGCTCCAAAATAATCCTAGGGAGATGGATGAGATGACAGGGGGGTACAGCTGAAGCAAGAGTGACTTTAAGTTGATGAATGTTGTAGCTGAGTCATGGATATGGGGAGAAGCGGGATATTTGTGTTATTCTCAAAACTTTAGGGCACATTTTCTGTTATTCTCAAAACTCTAGGGTACTTTTTAAATTTTCCATGGGGAAAATAAAAAACTACAGGCAAATGATTAATTTTAGAAGTTTTCTCATCTAAGAAAAATGCTAGTACCTTCTCTGGACACAGGACATTTGTTTGCAAAATTCATGACATGTTCATCTGCACCTGCTAGTCACACTACTAAATCACAAGGATGCCATTGTCAGAGAGAAGCAAACTTTCAACGCTGGTAGAAAAACAGGACATCACTGAAAAATGAACATCACAACCTAGTAGGTGCATGTTTCAACGACATAAAAGTAACGCCTCTTTAATCCTTAAGGAGTGGTAAGAAAGGGACAACTTTAGAAATGCAACTAGAGTATAAGATAATTTTCCCCTTAATAAGTTACATTTTTACTTAAGAACTACATATTCTAAGAAATACTGGGATGCAGGACAAAGAAACTAAAGATATTGTGTTTTAGCCTCATTTAAAAATGAAGGCTCAACTTCGAATACAGTATCATAACTAAATATTTTCTCATTACCTTAATATTATATTTAGATTGAGAATTCATATAATCAAAAAGTAGCTGATAATTCTTGAACTGGTAATCCCATTCTGAGTGTTCACGGTAGCGGAAATCATCTCCTAGTGGGACCAGGAGAACTGTAGTACGGAAAAGCTTTGACTTCTTTCGGTACTGATCTAGAAGCAGCCTAGACCTACAGAAGAAAAGGGGAAAATATGAATAGTATTAAGAAAAAGACAATGGGACAACTCATTAAAAAGTGTATTATATTAATAGAAACTATTGCATATTTTACCTGTATTCTAGATTAGCAATTTATTTATAAGGCACATTTTTTTAAACTACTGTACTATTTACATTATCCATTTAAAATACTCCTAAATTCTTATCAAAGGGAAAATTCATAGCTTTCCAATGGATTATCCTTAGAGAAATAAAGTCACATACCAACTGTGGCACATAATTACTGGGGGTATCAATGCCCTCCTAAAAGTCAGCACCAGAGATTAGATCCCAGGTTGCCCATGTTTTAATTTAGCCCAAGAAAACAATACGGATTTCTCATCTAAATCAACTTTGAAGCTTGCTTCGACTTAATCCCTCTTTCTCTAATTTAATCTAAAACTGCCTGATTAAACATAAAAAAGTATAATATTTGGAACCAAACCAATTATAGAACCATATTTCCTTTTCTAAAGGAAGAAAATCAACTCATTTAACACCTGCCATCAATAATCTGAGTATTTGTGTCATGGTGTTCTTCTCAATACTGATCAAAAGATAAAGCTTAGGAGGTGAATGACCTATTTTGGTCTTTACCTCTCTCGGCTCTAACCTATGACTCAAAAGGTCAGCTAAACACAATGTGTTCAGATGCTTTTACATTTCATATTCTAGTTTTCTGCAGAAAACCCTTTGGGAAATGCTGAACTGGGGCACCATTTGAGGAAGTCTGAGAATACCCTAAGAGGAAGGGCTTGTGAAAATTAAATAAAACAAGCAGAAGAACCAGAGAAGTTCTCCATGTTTATAAGGCCAAAGCTTAAGAAATCAGTGCTAAATGACCAAAATGCCTTTTACCTAGTCTTCCAACGTTCACTTCAAGGATTATTCAGAAGTAAATTCCAATTCACAACAAAAAACTTATGAAAGAAACTCAAAGAACACCAATGATAGAAAGAGGTATTTTATAGAAACTATGAAAAAACATTTAACTAAATTTAGAATCTCATAAGATCTTTTTAGTCTCTGAAACTGCTTTGCAAATATTAAATAATTAGCAAAAATTTAATAACTTGGTTAGTAAAATATAACCACAATATTCTTACGTAACATATAACACTTTTCCAAGATTGGCTTTCAGTAGAGTACTGAATTTTTACTAGTAATTTACTAATATTCCACATGTACCAAAAACAATTTTACATTATTACTTAGAACTAAAAAACATACGAGATTAATCACATAGAAAGATAAATAAGACCAAAAGAAATAAGAGGAGAAAAACCAAATATATAAATCACGGATATACGATATACTATGATTGAGCATCCAACTAGATCCTACAAGCAATGACCATAACAAAGGAAAAAAGGATATGTGATTTAAATGCATCCCAAGGTTTACTACTAAATATACCATATCTTGCACATATATGTGTAAAACACATAAGAGGAAAGAAATCATAAACATTAATTAAATTATAAACATAAACATTTTCTATTCACCTTCTATCCTAACTCCCAAGCTCCTGCTCAGAAATTGTTAACACTGGGAAAGCCAAGGGACCAACCTATGCCACCTGGCCAGTAGTGGATACTCACTAACTATACAGGAAACTAATGAGGAATGAATTGACCAACATCACATCTGAGGACGTGCAACTGCAATTTGCTCTTCACTTATTCTACCAGGTAAAAAATGTCAACTTAACTAAAACAAAACAAAACAAAAATTCCCTGAAACATCAAATCATCTGACATGTAAATCATCATCATACGTAAAATACAGACCAAAAACTGAACTTGACGGAGAATGGTATTTCTTTATTTAAAAAGTAAAGGAAGCTACTGAACTGAAAGTATCAAACACGTTACCTGTATATGACAGTTAAATCTCATTTTCTTTAGGGTTTAAAAAAAAATCAAGTGCCATCAAGCTGGAATGCCTGTGTTTAATCTCATCACAGAGTCAAAAGGAAGGTGATACCTGGATGTGAAGTAACCAGTAGAGTTAAGATTTCAAGACTCGTGAGAAGTTTTTAAAAAATCTATGTTAAGGGGCCACTCCCATGGCCTAGTGCTTAGTTTGGCGCACTCTGCTTTGGCGGCCCAGGTTCAGTTCCCAGGCGCAGACCTACACCACTCATTGGTGGCTATGCTGTGGTAATGATCCACATACAAAATAGAGGAAGACTGGCACAGATGTTAGCTCAGAGAGAATCTTCCTCAAGCAAAAAGAGGAAGATTGGCAACAGATGTTAGCTCACAGCAAATAAATCTTCCTCAGCAAAAAAAAACCCAATAAACTACATTAAGTATTATATAGATTCATTTACTTGTATGCCCCCAGGTACCTGGAAATCACTTTCAGAATCACTGGAACTGACTAAGCACAATGCATGCTCCTTGGGGAGCAATCTTTGAAGGGTTACAGGACACAACAAAAGGATTACACAAAATGGTTCTTGGGTACTCTCAGTAGCACCCAAAAGTGAAAAGGAGGGGCCTCACAATACCTGTGGATGCACTGGGACTCCTCAACTGAAGCATCTGGCTACCCTTCCAGAAGTTCCCTATCCCTGACCACCTGCCCTGGGAGGAGTAGTGTAAATACCTGATTCAGGGACAAACAGCTGTTTTCCCAAGTAGACAGGTAAGGTTACCTCTTCCCCCTCACCTCTTCATTTTCACTACATCTTTTGCTACATAATATACTGGATTATTCTCTTATGGCTAACTAGCCTAACCCTGGAAAGCAGTGTTCCTCACTGATTCTCATTGCTGCAGGAACCAAGAAAATGAAACCAGGTTGATCCCTAATCTTGAACAGTTTTTCAAAACGACTATGAAAGTCCGATTTTGATAGAAGGGATCCAAGGCTTCAAGAAAGCTGCCATGCTCAAATACTTCTGTGTCTGCCACAGTGAGAGGCTGACACTGGAATATTTTCTTTATGAACACAAGGACTCACTCAAGACCCAATCTCACCTTCCTCCTCATGCACATTTTTTTTAAAGGCAATTTTTTAAAATAAATAGATTTGATAAAGCACAGTGCAAAGATCTTACTTTATTTAAAAGGCTATCTTATTTTTCTAGAAGAAGTGAGTGGTTTATATTAAAATACAATGTTCTATTTTAATGCATTATACACCACTAATTTTTAAGTGAAGAAATTAAACTTTAAAAGCACTCAAATTAGAACTATGGGTAACTTTGTTTAATGAGATTAGCACAATTTTCTTCTTAAAAAAAAAACGATTCATTCCTTTGATTTTTATTTAAACATCTTTAAGTATAAATATTCCTAATTAAAGTTTTCTGTAAGCAAAAAACATCAGAAAGATGCAAAGATGTGTATTCATCAGAGCTGGGCAGCATTCACTATTATTGAAATTGTTATTAAGGGAACAGATAATTACACTCTTTATGTGTTCCATTTCAATAAATGTGTTTTTGCAGTTGGGTTGCTTTTCTTACCAATTTATACAATAGAGACCAGAAGTTTTACTACCAACAAAAGTACACAAAATCAATCAAACACAGTAGAAGGCTTTTATAATGAGGGCAAAAGAGATGGTAATAACAGTGTATTATAGGTTATCCATTGTATATTGATCTACTATTGTTCACTTTCCATTAAGTTATAACACATAAGAGGCATAGTCAGGCTCTGGTATTTTTAATTTGCTTTAGATCTGGTTTGAATGAATACCTCGAACAAAGATAATGTTGGCTACTGAAGCCCATTATTCAACCTTTCAGCAACAAGCAACTAATGGTTGCTTGTTCAAGATGCTGTCTTATGAAATGCATATTTTCATACCTGCTTTGGATATTTCCATTAAATATTGTTTCTGGGGGGACTCCCCAGGGACAACCAAGTATGCCTCCAGGAAGCCGTTTAAAATCAAACTGGCAGCATATTTTAGGATCAGGTCCACAAGTGTGAGGGATGTCATAGCTGTAGAAGGGCATCATGTGGCAAAAAATATCTGTGGCAGATCCCAGATCTAAAATAAAGAGCCAACAGACAAACCTGTATTTATAAATTTTGTTCCCAAAACTGTTCAAAATGCCAGTACTTTATATATATATAATGCAAACTCTACCTTAAACCAACAACCCCTTAAAACTACTAATAATACATAAATCCCAACAGCTTTTAATGACCGCCAGACTGAAAAAAGATGCTCCTATCTAGGTCTCTACCAACCTCTGCTATCTACACTTGGTTGAGACAGAAAAGCCCTGTTATGAACCAGTATCTGCTGGAAGGATACAAATTGAGCAGAAGCAAAAGTTATAACCGGCTCATCCGTGTCCATCCCTGGCTGCCAGCTCCTGCCCCATCTGTTCCCACCTCAGCTAACAGGACACACTGAGAGAGACCATTGCATTCACTGCAGAGGCTGGGTAAGAAGAAGAGAGAAAGAAAGCAAAAGGCAGAACTGGAAGAACAAAGGACCAAAGGCGGGGCTTGTGAAAATCCCCTGCAAATTCCTGTCTACTTGCAGTGAGGAAAAGGAAGGGCAACCAGCAGAGTTCATGGAGTCCCCTGGACGTTCACCAATAAACAGCCAGGGGGTCTCTTCACCAAGAAGGGAGCACAGGAAAAGTAAAAGGAATTTTCAAGACCAAAAAGAAGAATAAAAACAAAGCAAACAAAAAAGATATGGAAAACAAGTATTGATTCCTGATGCAGACTTGTTTTTAACTAAAACTTCAATGTTAGTATGTGTTGATACTACTGCCCTTGCCCTTGAGAGGTCTGAAGCCAACACTAAGTGAGAGTGGAGGACTTAACTAGTAGTTAAAAGTGGTTATTTTGTATAATATACTTTGTAAAATATACGTTGTAAAATCCTGACCTGTAAATACCTCTCTCCCTTTATTTATGCAAGGATTTCAAATTTTGGGGAATGGGTATGCATTGCTTTTATAATAAAGACAGACAAAAGGGCAAACAAAAGAGCAACATTTACACTTAAGAAAATGAAAATATTTGCTTCATTAAGAACCAGAATACACAAAGAACCAGAATACACAAAGAACTTAATTCTAAAACATAATTTCAAAGCAACATGTCCAAATCTATCAAATGTTTAAAATATTCCAGTTTTTACCTCATACTCCATTTAGTTAAAATAATTACCAGTTCTTTTCCAAATTTTAAAGCTGTTATAATCTGTATATTTCTGTGCTGTCAGTTTCAATGAATCACATTCACAAACGTGACAACACAGATACGGGTCACTAATGCGTGCTATCTGTACTGAGGTTGTCACACGTCCCAGAACTGATGCCAAATTCCTTCTCCTTTCTCCTACGCATCAAGGACCATACTCAACCCCACTGCTTCTCCTCACACCGTACTATTTAGCAGCTCATTTACACATTTCAGTTTATCTGGGGCATTTAGTGTTGTCTTTTATCAAATTAGACTTAATTTTCTTATAGGCAAGGATGTTTTCTATATTTCTTCCTAGCGCAGTATTAAGTACATAAAAATACTCAGTAATTTCTCGCTGACTGATATTTATGGGCAATTTGAATGTAGGCAATTGTTTAAGTAGGGCTTCTTCAAATTAATAGTCATTTTTTTAAATCAATATACTCCTTTTCATTTGATCAAACTATACAGGGTACCATCCCGTACAAGTTCTTGTTTTCCCTACAGGTTTAATTTTCCAGAATAAAAATTATATAGCTAATTTCTTTCCTTATTGAAAAAACAGCAGTACATACAAGAAAGTTACTGTCTAGATTTACAAGTGACTTTTCCAAAACACTCAAGAGGGTCTGGATTACACAGGAAAGCAAGTATGACGTAATACAGTAGTTTCTGTACATTGTTTTAGCAACAGAATCCTTTTTTCAGATGAAATCTTGCTGAGAACTCAATACTGGGATGGCAGTGTATGCCGGGGGGTTAGGTGTCTGGGCTTCAGAACTGCATGGAACTGAACTCATACCTCAGCTTTGTATCCACCACCTGCCAAGACTTTTGGCAAACGGCTTCACATATCTAAGCCTCCCTTTCTCTACCATTTAAAAGGGCTAGTAATAAAACATAATTTAAAGGAGAATTATAAAGATTCAATGAGAGAGTGGATATGAAGCATATAACATAATGCATGGCTCATAATAAGGACTCAATAAATAAAAAATAAGGTGTTCTGAATTAAATGGGGGTTGCAAAAGGCAAAGACTCCCAAAAGGACTAAATCTCATCTCCTTTCCCCCCGCAAAGAGCTGGAAAAGTATGTCCTTGGAACATCCAGATGCCCACAGAACACAGTGTAAACTGCAATATAGGTAATATGAGGGCTGTTGTAGAAGGACAGGATTAAAGTTTTAAAAGGCAGTTCTTACTAGATGCAGAGACAGGAAAGATGGAAGGAAGAAACACTGGCTGCATATGAGATAAATGACTGAATATCAGTTCTAATGCACATTTAACTTTGTGATAAAACAGGTGCTTTTAAAAATAGAAGCGAAAGCATTATTTGCAGAACACTGATTCTTTATATTTTACTTCCTTTAGGCATAAAAAAGAATCTACAATATTCTATAGATAAATATCTTTACCAATGCTTAAAAGAATCTTGACACAAATACAAGGGAAAAATAATTATAAGAATGTGTTATCTTTAGGCAACCTGATTTTCAAGACTGACACTCTGAATAAAACCCGTAACAGCATGAGTTCATAACCCTTGTGAAATACCATCTAGATCAAGTGAGAGCTTCAACTTTCATCAAACCCTACATACCCCAATTCTGTCTCCAAAAAAACTCCAGCGTTTTACCCAATGCGAAATGTTTTTTAACTGCATAATGAACTCTCTGGATAAGCATGTGAGAAAATCCAGCACGTTTTAGAAGATAAGCCATAGTTGGTGAATGTCCAAAAGGATCAATAGCCCAACCGGACCGAGGTTTCACTCCTGTTGATAAAGAAAATAAGAGTTATCTTTTTTAACAGATAAACAAAATAAAAAGAAGTCATAACACATTCAGACCCACCAGAGTCCTATGGTCTGCTGGCTTCTAAGATAAAGGAGCTGCCCAGCATCACCCTTTAGGGAGCACTCCCACGAGGACTCCCTCATGGGAAGATTCTGCCACTGCCATGTCCTCTCAGACAGGGGAATCACATGGAAGTTAATCAGTTGAAGCTGAAATAAGCACTCTGCCATCCTGTAGATATTAGAAAGCTACTGGCATTCAATGGAGCTGGAGAAAGGAACAGACCAAGTCCCGGCCCTCTAGGATCTCCAGTCCTGTCTTTTGTAGAGCTAGATAACTCACTCACTGTTATGTAATAAAGAAAAGTAATCTAACTCATTTCAACTTGTACTCACCAACCCCAACATTTACAGATTTTTAGACTGTCTTTTACAACTCACAAAAGGCCCAAATCATATTATGCAGTAGCAGAACTGGCCAAAATAACTACACTGTATTTCATTAAATCAAGATATTTTGATGCTGATGCTTTCTCTCTACATAGACGGGGTCAATGGAATTTTTCACACCTTATTCACACCAATTATAAGAGCCATCAACTAAAGATATATCTCAATTTCACAGAGGATAAAATGTAAAAAATAAAAAATGGATATGTTCGAATTAAGGAAGTAAGATTATTCATCTGGCATTACACAAATCTTATCTTTTATCTATTCAGGACTCTCAAAGAAGGCTTCTATATATAAACTGTAAATCGGCATAAGTAATAATATTATGCACATTTTTTTCACTCAAACATCTGTTTAGCACCTTCCATATACCTAAGACTATGAGAGGCCCTAGAATTACAAAAACGAGTTAATCTTAATTCCCACTCTAGTTGCAGAGACTATCGTGCAAATAGGTGTAACACAGAGTAACAAAAAAGACAGCAAAGGGAAGAACTCTGTAGAACAATACTGAAGATTAACACAGAGATGGGAAGGCAGCAAAGGAGACTGAGAAGGAAAGGTCAGAACTCTCAAAGGACCAAGAGTATGTGTCAAAACTCAAAGAACTGACCACACAAGACTTGTGCATTTCACATATGTAATTTACCTCCAAAAATTGTAAAGAAATTTTGAACTCTATTTAGTAATTTTGTTTTTTGTGGTGGTATTGGTTTAACAATTCTGAAACTACCTCTCATGTATTCCAAGGACAAGGGAGCCAGGTTTTATACTATTAATAAAAGGAACTAAAAAATATATAAATGTGGGAGAGTGGAATGTACTCTATGATAGTGAATTGAAATAGGAGATATCGATATTAACTTATGGTTTTATATACACACACACATCTCCTAGCTCAGAGCGCCAAGAGGGCCTATATGCAATAACACCTCAGTACCAATGAGCACATCTTATCTCCCAGACCTTGACCTCTAAACACCATGCTCTATTAAAAATAACCTTAAAGAAATGGCTTATTCTAAGGCTGAGGTCAGGAAAGCACAAAAATAAGCCTGGCACATATTCTTGGGCCATAAAGTAAAGAAATGACCAAAGAATAATGAGAACATATTAAAATAACTCAGGAGACAGCTTGAAGGGGCTTCCAGTGGTCAAATTTGGGACAACTGGAGCAGCAAAATAAATGACAGTACTAGATTATAACCCATTGAATAAAATAAGCATTCATGAGCCCATAAAGGAACAGGAAATAAAAAAGAAAGCTCTTCTCTTTTAGAGAATGCCAACTAACAATTATAGAAGGAATGATGAAGTTAGAAAATCATCAATGGATCCTAAAATTAAAACATGAGAGTTTCATGAGGAACAAAACATTTACCTATTCTCAATGTATCTCCCACAAATTACTTATTAATTAGAAAGGGGTAAAATGTAACAGAAGAGTGAAGAAACTTAACAGACACAACTTAAGCAACTGATCAAGGCTAGCATCACCAATATTGGAAGAGAGAGACATCAAGGATGCATTGAAGACAGCAGAACATCACTGCAGTGATACTCTATCAAATTAAATAGGTTAGATTACATTAATACATGGGTGGGTAGATAGACAGATAGATAGATAGACAGACAGATAGATAGATAGGAAGAACAGATAACCTGAAGCTAATCAGGAGGGAAGAGACAAACTCAAATGGAGACACTTTCTACAACAGAGGTCTGCACTGCTCAAAAATAGCAAGGTCAAGAAATCAAAGAAAGCGTGAGGAACTATTCCAGATGAAAGGTGACTAGAGAGACATGACAACTAAATGCAATACACGACCCTGGGTGCGATCCTGGACTGAGAAGAAAAAAAGCAGCTTTTATAAAAAAAACTATTGAGACAACTGATAAAATCTGAATATAGCCTGTAAACTAGACTGTAGTATTTGTATCACTGCTAATATTCATGATTTGGTAACTATCTTCCAGTTATATAAGAATATGCCCTTATTTCTTAGGAAATATACAATGAAGTATTGAGAGACAAAGAGACGAGATGCCTCCAACTTACTCTCAAATGGTTCAGAAAAATATGCATATAAGTCTAAGCACCGGATATACAGGAGTCTTTCCCAAGAACTATCATGAAGTTTGAAATTATATCAAAATTAAGTTACAAAATAAAAAAGAAGTATGTGTTGTCCCAAATAACAAGTGCAGAATAAGTTTACAAACGAGTAAAAATCAACACCAAATCTACAGTTATGTCTGAGATTTTAGCATTACTGGTGATCTTTTCAGTATCAAAACCACTTGATCCACAGGAGTAGCAATCTAGCTGCAACGGATCAAAGAATCTCTGAATGGTAATGTTGTAGAAAAGAGACAATGTAAACTACATTTCTTAAAACTTTGATATGAAAGAAGGTGAAAGCTAGGGAGAGACCTAGAGAAGGAACCTAGGATCCCACTAGGGTTTTCCTTGGTGTAAGTAAATATTTTTTAAAAGGGAGGTAAGGGGCAAATTTAAGGAAAAGTGCAGTATAAGAAAAACCCAAAATTTTATAGAGAGAGCACATTTGCCAATAAAATCAGAAAAGGTCATGGAAAAGATTTTTTGCCATCATGCAAGAATTAAGATTATCAAAATATGTAAAAGTAAAAACTGTTAGGAAAAATTACGGGAAACAATCATCAAAAAGAATAAATACACCACTCAATTTCTGACAAACCTAAGAGGCTTAAAAATTAGAACATGATAATATGAACAATATAATTAATAAAATTGGATTATTCCAAGTACATTTAACATTAACGCTTAAGAGGAATCAGAGAACAGTTACAAAAATGGATATTATGGGCAAAAGATAACCTTAAAAACTCAAACCAAGTTTATAATAGTCAAATTTGTATAAAGTTCATAAAAGTAGAAATTAACAACCAAAGACTAAAACATTTAAAAAGCATCCCATAATCAAATGTAAAAATAAAGTCTTCAAAATAACATCTTGTTCTAAACTGTTTAGGAAATAAAACTGAGAACACTACTCTAATTTAAAAGATGCAGCCAAAGCCACAACAAGAAAAATCTTCATATTCTCAAGTGTGGTCATTATCTAAATATAAGAGGTGAAATCAAGAAAATGAAAAGACAACTCACAGAATGGAAAAATATATTTGCAAATCATTATCCAACAAGGAAATTGCATCAAGAATATATAAAGAACTCAGAAGTTAACAATAAAAAAAACAAAGAACCCAATCTTTTTTTTTCAACCTTTTTTTTTTTCCCGAGGAAGATTAGCCCTGAGCTAACATCTGCCAATCCTCCTCCCTTTTCTGAGGAAGACTGGACCTGAGCTAACATCCATGCCCATCTTCCTCTACTTTCTACGTGGGACGCCTACCACAGCATGGTTTGCCAAGCAGTGCCATGTCTGCACTCGGGATCCGAACCAGTGAACCCTGGGCCACTGAAGCGAAACGTGTGCACTTAACCCCTGCACCACCCGGCCGGCCCCCAAAGAACCCAATCTTAAACGCAGGCATATAGATATCTCTCCAAAGAATAAATATCTCTCCAAAGAAGATATATAAATAGCCAATATACACATGAAAAGATACTTAAGATCATTTGTCTTTAGGGAAATACAAATCAAAGCCATAATGAGAAACCATTTCACACACACTTGTACGGCTAAAATAAAAAAGCCAGACAATAAAAAATGTTGTTGAAGATGTGGAGAAATTAGAACCCTCGTATATTGCTGGTGCAAATGTAAAATAGTACAGCCATTGTGGAAAACAATTAGGCAGTTCCTCAAAAGGCTGAACAGAGAGTTACCATATGACCCAGCAATTCCACTCCTAGGTATATACCCAAAAGAAATGAATATATGCCTACACAAAAACTTACACAATTGTGTATAGCAGCATTATTCATAGTAGCTAAAAAGGGGACCAATCTGAATGTCCATCAACTGAAGAAAGGATAAACAAATATGATATATCCATACAACAGAATATTATTCAGCCTATAAAATGGAATGAAGCACTGATTCATGCCATGACGTGGAATAACCTTGGAAACATCATGCCAAGTGAAAGAAGCCAGTCACCAAAGGCTACATTGTATGATTCTATTTATGTGAAATGTCCAGAATACTCAAATCCATATATACAAAAAGCAGATTAGTAGTGGCCAGAGCCTGGAGCAGAGAATGGAGGAGCCAGAAAGGGGTATGACTTAATGGGTAAGAGGTTTCTTTTGAGGATGTTGAAAAAGTTCTAAAAATAGATGGTGGTAACGGTCGCACAACTCTGTGACTATACTAAAAACTACTAAACTGCACACTTTCAGTGGTGAATTTTATGATATGTGAAACAATACAGTTGTAAGAAAAAAATTTATGCTGAGCAAAGAAGTCAGATCCAAAAGAGTTAATCCACATATATAAAGTTCTCATATATAAAAATCCACATATATAAACCCACATATATAAAGGCAAAAATAATCTACAGTGATAGAAATCAGAGAGCAGTTGGCTGCAGGGGGAGAACTGAGGAGGATGAGGGAACTTTCCGGGGTGATGAAAATGTGGGTTAAATGAGTATATACACTTCTCAAAACTCAAACTCTATAGTTAAGACTTAGATGTTGCTCTGCATGTAAATTACACATCAATAAAAGCTAAACGTAAGAAATCCGCAAAAACTGAGGTTTATAAAATGAATATTCTTGGCTTAGAACATGGTTATATATTTGAGAAAAGTGGCACTCCTTGGGGTCCCAAAGTCCACCTCCAGGTTTGGTGATTTCTTAAGAAAACTTACAGGACTTGGCGTCAGTCACACCCACAGCTACAATTTAGCACAGTGAAAGGATAGAAAGAAAAATCAGTAAAGGGAAAAGGAGCATAGGGCAGAGTCCACAGGAAACCAGGCACAAGCTTCTAAGAGTCCTCTCCCTGTGGAGTCCCACAGGACGCATTTAATTCCTCCAGCACCGAACTGTGACAACACATGAAATGCTGTCAGCCAGGAAGCTCATTAGAGACACAGTGTCCAAGGTTTTTACTGGGGGTTGTTCATGTGGGCATCCTCTGCCTAGTACATACTAAGATTCCAGATTCCGAGAAGGAAAACAGTGTTTAGCAGAAACTCATTGCTTTTACAAACAGTTTAAACAGAGAGAGCTACTCATTTCTCATTTCAGAAATCCAAATCCTTTCTAAGGAGAGCAGTTTCAGACCTGCTATGTTAAACTCGTTTCTACACAGGCATGATATCTGCAACTTATTCTAATAATAACAATCACAATAACAACAATATGGAAAGAGGGGAAAAGAAAAAAGCAAACGTGCCAAAATGTTAATAACAGGTGAATGTGGTTGAGGTGTCTGTGGGAGTTCTTCATAGTATACTTACAACTTTAAGTTTGAAATTATTCCAAAATAAAAGTAAAGAAAAAATTAATGGAGAGGTTGTCCCTAACAGAATATTTTAAAATAATAAAATATCTAGAAATAACTTCAATAAAAAACATATAGACTTACCGTACAGAAAACTACAAAATTGTACTGAGAGATACGAAATATTTGAAAAGAACTACATACTGTGTTGCAGAACGCAAATATTAGATATTGCAAAGATTTTGATTAGTCAGTCTCACAATCCTATGAGTTACATGACTGTCTGATTTTATCAGTCCAGTATCCTTTTTCCCACTTCTTGTGGTAAGAGGATCCTTCTTCCTCATGGAGGACCCATTCACATGGTTTGAGTCAGAACCATGCGCTCCACAAAGCCTACTACCTCATGACCATTTCCACCAAACTCATCAGGCCTCAGTGATTTCAGTGCCTCCATCTCTGGCCTTAGTTAACTGGCTTGGCTCACAGATTAAGTGCTGAACCCAAATTGGGCCAATTAGGTAAGGTATTAAGGAACACTCCTTCTCCTGGTTGTTAGACTAGGAACATGAGAGTACCAGTTGTCTAGAGCCATCTTACTCACCATGAGGTAAGAGCCAGGAGAAGACTGAAGACATGCAAAACTAGGCAGAGCCAAAAGAGACAGTGCCCAGACAACAAAATTTGAGCCCCCTGGATCCAACCTTACCTGAAGCTACTACCATCTCTCTGGAATTCTTGATGACAAAATTAATACCTTTCTTTCTTAATTTTCTTTTTTTTTTGCTTAAGCTAGTAAATAGGTTTTTGCCTCTTATGATCAGGAGTCTTACCTAATACATAAGTAAAATCCCACTAAGATATTTTTAGGAAAAAATTATGCTACAATTAATCAAAAAACAGATAAAAATAATAGATAAAATAATAGATGAAACAAGGTAGATGACCCTAAAAGTGACCGTATTATATCTACGCAACTGAGTTTATGATTAAAGAAGCATCATAAATTAGTGAAGGATAAATTATTCAACAAAAACCAGTATTGAGAAAATTAGTTATTTAAAAAAATAAAATAGAGCCTCATCTCACATTCCCCAAAATTAACTGCCCAAAATAGTCCCTGTGAAAGAGAAAGACATCAATACGTACCTAGATTTTTTTCCAGCCACTGATGTCCTTCAATTAGTTGGTCAATTAAGGCAAAATAATGTGCAGCAGCCTCATCAGGCATAACCCAGCCACCTGTCACAATTTCCAACTGACCATTTTCTAGTAACCTAGGGAGAAAATAATACAAGTGTTCACATTAACATATATAAGAAAAGTTCAAATAAAAAATTAAAATAGCATAAACATTAGGTACAGCCTTTAAATATAACCAGTATTTGTATCAGCTGTTAAAAAATTTTTTAAACCAGTAAATGAAATTCAGGTTTGGGATCCTGGTGATCAAGCATCCTTAGTAAAGCGTCTGAGGTGACCCCTCCCTCCCCAGGCATAGCTAGGCAGGTCACTTTGGAAGTTTCTTTTTGAGGTATAGCACAATTTCAACGATTCCTGGTGTCAGGAGCCACATCTGATTTATTTCTGAATCTTGCAGAGCACCAAGCAAAGTGCTTTCCTCAAAGTATATCCCTGATGGGTGTTTACTGGAGTACTGCCACTTTAAGCACAGTATTTGTTTCAATACACCTATATTGAAAAGTCAACATTTATTTTAGTTCTTCTGACACTAATAAGTTAATCACACAAACTACACAAAAGCAGTAATAATAAAGGTAAAGCTAGTAAATATTACATGCCTCTGGGAATATAGAAAACATTATAGAGCACTTTGCTCCAAATTCAATTAAAATGTAGGCTATACAGTCTATTTTTCATTATGGAATAAAAGGCTCTAATATCATCATTATGTGTCCATTGGGTACTCCTTTGCCATAGTACCAAGGTAACTAGATCCCCAGCCCAGGAAAATTGAATTGTTACAAGAAAATACCTTCCTTTGAGAAGAAAAAAAAATCATTATTAAAAATCTGAAGACCCACCGGAGGAAGTATAAAAGTCAAGAATTTCAGCAAACATCTTAAATGTCACAGACTTTTGAGTTTGCAACAAGACAGTTTAGAAAATGGTGTAAAATTTCAGAAAGAAAAGCAGCTTTAATAAGGATACACATCACCGGATGCCTACAGCTAACAGCCAAGGACCAAGTCAAATTTAGTTGAAGCAGACCACAGGCATAAAGGATAGATAAGTATTTTCCCACAAAGCACATAACAGAAGCCACAGCATTAACACAACACTTGGTTTATTCAAATCTATTCATGATCATATAACCGGTGACAGAGTGCATAATGGACACAATTTCTAAAAATGAATGAATGAATGAGTAATTCCTTGCATAAAATGAAAAGGTACTAATTAAGTTTGTATTGCCATGGGGATCCCCAACTAATATAATTTCACATGAAGAATATGATGGCTCAATACGGTGTCTAAAGAAACCTGTGTCCCAACAAACCTCAGATTCTCACAGGTCCAAATCAAGAACTTATAAAACCGGAAATTTCTAAAAATTGCATTTCTTTAAGAACACAACTAAGTCCAAGGCTATTTTGTCCCACTCTTCCTGTCAACGGGACTCTGTTGACAGTTCGGTCTTCTTCTCTTTCTGGTGACTGCCTGCTTCAGCTCCATTCTGCAGACCACAGACGAGACCTGCCTGATGCCTTATGACCAGTAGTCGGGGGCCTGAGATAGCACAGATTTGGGATTTATCCTCTGACCACCAAATATAGAAACTAGACTTCTTTATCTCAGTATCCCAATAAACAGATCTTTTAGAAATTTTCAGAAATAAATTGGTCAAAACAAATTCTTTGCTGCTCTTGAAGAGACAATAGGAACTACAGATTAAGAATCCAAAAATTAAAATTATAAAAATCACTCCAATGATGAAATTTTTCATTTCTATCAGTCAGCTTTATTTCGGTACATAATCCCCATCCCTTAGGCATGAATGGACTCCAAGAAACAGTCAACTGAGTGAAGAATCATAAATACAGTAGTCCCTCCTTATCCAAAGTTTCGCTTTCTGCAGTTTCAGTTACCTGCAGTTAACCACAGTCTGGAAAATATTAAATGGAAAACTACGGAAATAAACCATTCATAAGTTTTAAATTGTGCACTGTTCTGAATAGTATTATGAAATCTCGTGCCATCCCTCTCGGTTCCACCCAGGACGTGAATTCATCCCTTTGTCCAGCATATCCACACTGTATATACTACCCACCTAGTAGTCACTTATTAGTTGTCTTGGTTATCAGATCGACTGCCGCAGTATCCTGCAGTGCCTGGGTTCAAGTAACCCTTATTTTACGTAATAACAGCCCCAAAGAGCAAGAGTAGTGATACTGGCAATTCAGATATGCCAAAGAGAAGCTGTAAGGCGCCTCCTTTAAGTGAAAAGAACACAGCATATATAGAGTTCAGTACTATCCACAGTTTCAGGCATCAGTGGGGGTCTTGGAACATATCCCCATGGATGGGGGGGGGGCCACTGAACTACGTATTTGTGAATAATCTACCCCTTCCCCCTCCCCACGACGTCTGAGATGCTACTGTGATGTGTACTGAGGTCTTACCTGCACAAATGATTACTTTAAAGACTATACTGTCTATTAATTTGGGGGAGGCATGAGAAGCCTCCCACTCATTAAAATGTTTTCCAGAATTTTCTTACCTATTTATTTTCTCCTCTCCTATCTTTCCCAATCTGTCTGGACCCAGATGCCCTATTGTCTCAGCTCAAACATAACTTATCCAGAGAAGTCTCTCTTACCACCCAACCTAAATCATCACTCCCACTGTACCCCCACACTCTATCACTCAATAGCATTTATCACAAACCAAAACTCACGACACATCTCCCCTCTCTCCCTCCTCACCCTGCCACCATTAGAAGGTGAGCTCCAAGACAGCAGAGACGAGGACACGCTGTTGTGGTCACTTTTCCAGGCCCAGCCCTGAGAAGCTTGATGGGCATATAACAGGCACTCCAATGGTTGTTAGATCAATGAGGAATGAATGAATGAGCCTCTCAGTTTAAAATTAGTTATTACATAAAGTTTTTATATTAGATGAAGCTCGCAGACATATGCAAAATAAATTGGACAGGGAAGGGTCAGCTGGAAAGCAGTTTGAATAATCTAGGCATGAGGCGATATGATCTAGAATATAGTGGTGGTAGGAAACATGGGAGAGGAGGAAGATAGAGGAGATATTTCATGAAAAAGTTATCAGTGGGAATCAGGAAATGACTGGAAATAGAAGAAAGGATTAAAGCACATATGGCTTGGGGTTTGAATTCCAGGTGTCTAGTGGGGTGGTGGTGTTAATACACACACAGTGCAGTTCAGAAGGGAAGTCACTTTGAAGTAATAAATATAAATTTGGACAGGGCTATTTGATATGACAGTGAGACACCCAGAAGGAGCTAACTGAAAAATAAGTTTAGGAAAAGAGGCTGATATAAAAAACTAAGTTTTACGGGCTGGCCCCATGGCCAAGTGGGTAAGAGTTCCATGCACTCCGCTTCGGCAGCCCGGGGTTTACAGGCTCAGATCCCGGGTGCAGACGTATTCCACTCATCAGCCATGCTGTGGAACCACCCCACATACAAAGTAGAGGAAGACTAGCACAGATGTTAGCTCAGGGCCAATCTTCCTCACATGCACAAAAGAACATATATATATATATATTAAGTTTGGGGGACTGAAACTAAGAGGAAATAGAAAAGGATGGGAAGTCTGGAGAAAACAATCAAAACAGTCAAGGATCAAGAAAAGGAAAGCGTAAGAGGAAATAGAGGCAATAAGAAATGTTAAAGATAAAAACAATAAATCTGTGAATATAGCCTGAAACATTCCAGAAAAGAGTAATGAGAAACAACCTGCACTTCCATTTGGTATAAGGCGTTTTTACACTTTAAAAAAGCTGCTATTTAACTGTGACTTACTCAGAAATAAACACATCAGTGGGTCAGAATATAAAGTTGAGAAATTCTTAAAATTTTATATTATTGAAATAGTCATTAAATTAGTGGGGAAGAATGGATTATAGTTTTTTTTAAAAAGCTCCAATCAGAGTAATTTAAAAGAAGCTCTTAAGAAACCCAAGATATTATGTCATGGAAACCAAAGGACTGATATTTTGAAATAGCACGCTCACATGGGTATTTAAGAAAACTGCATGGGTAGGTCACAACAGGCATAAGTGATGTCATAATAGCAGACTAGAAAGAACACAGATTTTACTTGTTCTTAGCATAGTTTCTCTAATCAGGCAGAACAAAAACCTAAAGGAAGAAAACAGAAAATATGATTTAAAATATGAAGCAATGTGCCAATGACTAGACACCTGGGCAAATAATCAGGTCAGTGAGCACTCCTATTTCAATGAACTTCTTGCTTTTCCTAGTCCGCACATAAGAAGGGTAAAAACAAGATTATAAACCAGAAGATTCTTACAGGTAGGAAGGTTTGCTTTGACATAAAATATTCACTGTATTACGCAAAAACACTTGCCACTTGAATGAATTAAACCAAGAAACTCCCCATACACACAGACAGAAACTGTAGAAGTGCACAAATTTGCCATGTATATCCCTGGAATTCTAGAACATACGAAGTCAGCACTTAAGAAGCACCTGATAAATGAAAGAATAACAAAAAGGCCCAAAGAAACACGAGGAAAATGCGACCTAATGATGGAAAAGCACAGCAATGATCGTCAACATATATTAACAGGTAAGAAAAGTAGGAGTGACAGTCTTAGAAAATACTCAGAAAAATATAAGCAATAACAGAAGAGCTATGTTAGCCTACAGAAAAGTACCATATTTAAAACTGCTATTGTCAGCAAAATGATGAAAATAAAATTAAGACAGACTGCAACTGTACATTCAAAACTTTAATAATTCTTTAAAAAAAATCAAGTAATGGGAAATACCTGTAACTATAGAAAAAGTAACTTAGAACAAATACAGGTACTTTCAAGTATTTCCATTTATTCAGTACTCAACAAGCATCAATTGAGCTATTTCTCTGCGATAGACAGGGGAACATAAAATCAAAAACAATGTGCCCACCCCTTAGTGTCGATTGCTTAGCTTCTGCCAAGAGACTCTGGTTTCTGGAAAAAATTTTTTGCATGTATACTTTTCCTAATAAACAAGAGATCTAGAAGCAAAAGAAAAAAGAGAAGGAAAGAGAGGAGTATATACATGCAGCAAATCCAGAACACAGGAAACTAGACACTGACTTTCAAAATTAACACCACTCCTGTTTCACTTTTTAAAATTGCTGACTTGTAACCTCTGGTTAAGACATTACGTACTTCCATGTTTCTACTATTTCATTGCTTGTGCATTTGGTATAAAAAGCTTAAGAAAACAACTGATCAAAACTAAGCTGAGTATATATGTCACAGCTCACTTTGCCTAAAATGCAGAATTTACACTTAAGAATTTACTTTGCCAAGCACAAGAAGCTGCAAATCATTTTCTCTGAGTGCCACTTCTCCCCTCTGTAGACTCATCACACATTTGGAATTTAGTCACACACAGAAAGACAGACTCAAAGAGCTTTTTTCCCTAATGGGGAAATTGTTACAGAAAACTTAGTAACAAATAATGCATCATTTAGCGAGCTTTAAAGAATCACAAATTAATTTCACATGAGAAAAAGAGTTGAATTTGTAATCATACATCTGGGGAAATAGGAAATAATACAAGATGATATACAGGGTTTCATTCTCAAAAAATTAGTTAACGGAAAATTCAAAAAGACAGAGGCTCCTAATGAACCAATTAATAGCCTAAAATCATTTGCTTATCAGATTATCTGACTCATATGCCTTTCAGGGGAAATATCTAATATGAGGGTAAAAATAAAATTCGTTTTAAAACCCGTCACATAATAATTGAGGAAACTCATCACATGCTTCTGAATATTGTTGATGCCTATCTTTAAAGATTTAGCGTATGAGGGACAGATAGAAAATTAGGGACAGATCTCATCATCTCTTCCTCAATTCTTTCCAAACATACTCCTTCTTGCAGTTCACTGTCCATGCTGTCTCTCTGCCTGGAATGTTTTACCTCCCAATATTTGCCTGCTAGTTCTTGCAGATCCATTAGGAGCCTTCCCTGGCCACCATCTCCCATCCAAACCCCACCTAAATCGGTATTTCATAAAACCCAAAACTTCTTTCATAGCACTTATCACAAAATTTAATTTCACATTTGTATGTTGTCTCGTTTACTGTCTCTCTCAGTAGACTGTAAGCTTCATGAGGGCAGGAATCACATGGTTCTTTCTCTCCATTTAACATTCACTGTTCCTATTAGAAAAGAATAACAATAACCCAAAGGAAAAGCCGAAGCAGGATATGAAGCAGATATTTCAGAAACAATTGGCTCCTGAAAATGAAATGTTGGCTCACCCATAAGGAAATTCAAATGAAAACTTCAATGAGATGCCACTTTTACCTATCAAATTGGAAAGATCAAAAAGTTGTATAACATACTGCGATGTCAAGGGTGTATGAAAATAGGTATTGTCACCTATTCCTGGTAATAACTATCCAATTGAAAAATGCCTATATACTTTTATCCATGCTCATTCAAATTAAGTCAGAAAACCTGTCAAAGTATAAAAATAAACAAAAGCATTGTATACGCTAAAGATAGAACATATACCCTATGTATTCGTAAAAGATCAGAAATAAAACTACATGGTCATCAATTGGAAGAAACGGTCCACTCATTAAATAGACTTTTATACAGTCTTTAAAAAGAAAAGGGGCTCCTCTTTGCTGAAACGTTCTCCAAGATATATGAAATTTAAAAAGCATGGTACAAGACCCATTAAGAGGGTTAATTATCAAAAAAATAGCAAATAGGTGTTGATGAGGATGTGGAGTAACTGGAAATCTTGTGCTTTGTTGGTGGCGATGTGAAATGGTGCAGCTGCTATGGAGAATATGGGAGTTCTGCAAAAAACTAAACCTAGAATTACTATATGATTCAGCAATTCCACTTCTGGGTATATACGCAAAAGAACTGAAAGCAAGGACTCAAAACGATATGTGTACACCCCTATTCATAGCAGCATTATTCACAATAGCAAAAAGGTAGAAACAATTCAAAGGTCTATTGATGGATGAATGGATAAACAAAACATGGCACATTCACGCAATGGAATATTATTCTGCCTTGAAAAGGAGAACACTGACACATGCTTCAACATGGATGAACTTTGACAACACTATGCTAAGTGAAATAAGCCAGACATGACAAGACAAATATTGTATGATTACATTTATATGAACATTTTTATTAATTAAATTTTTTTATTTTCTAGAGTAGTCAAACTTATATAGAGAAAAAGTAGAATGATGGTTGCCAGGGGCAGGGGTGAAAGGGAATGGGGAGCTATTGTTTAACAGGTACAGAGTTTCAGTTTTGAAGACGAAAAAGTCTTGGAGATGGATGATGATTATGGTTGCATAACGTGAATGTACTTAATGCCACTGAATGGTACACACAAAATTGTTAAAACAGTAAATTTTATGTTATGAGTATTTTACCACAATAAAAAAATAGACTCACTCAAAAAAAAAATCAGCACAATATGCATATATATATATTTTCCTGTATATCTATAAAATAAACAAGACTCTGGCCATGGCTGCCTCCTGTGAGAAGAACTAGAAGATAAGGAGACAGGAGTGGTTGTTTAGTACCTTACCTTTCATTGTGTACTCTTCATATATTTGGGCTGATATTAAAATACAAATTAAATGAAAACTTTTTTCTAAACTATATACTGCATTATATATAAGTATTGAAAACTAATAAAACCATAGCATAAAAGTCAAGAAATTTTACTTAAGAATATTTCTCATATTAGACGGTTCAATTAATAGTTTCTGTTGTTTTATTATAAGCAGAGGATCTATTTTAAATATTTCACTGTATACTAAATAATACCTCATTTTCCCAAAATAAAATTAATAAAATGCTCACTCAAAATAAAGTGGAAAATACATAAGAGGTTAAAGAATAAAATTTAAAAATTTACCCAATATCTTACTATAAATGCATAAGGGGCTATGGTAGGCACAGTTTTTTTTTAACCAACTTATTTTACTTAATACTATACCACAAATATCTTTCCATGTTAATAGACATATATCATTATGTCTGTGGTTGTACCGTATTTTTTAAAGCATTTTTAATTGAGGTATAACAACATACAATATACATGTGTTCAGTCAGATAAATTTTGACAACTGCTTATATTCTTGTAATAACTACTCAAAACAAGATATAGACTATTTCCATCAACTCAGAGAGTTCCCTCATGCCCCTTTCCAGTCAGTTCCTACCTCATCCCCTCAAAAGAAAGAAAGACAATCTAACTTTATGATTTCTATCGCAATAGATTGGTTTAGCTACTCTTAGACTTTACAAAATGGAATCACACAACATTTACTCTTCAGTGTCAGGCTTCTTTTGCTTAACATGTTTGTTAGATTCATTCCTATTACTGTCCATTTCAGTAACTTATTATTTTTCATTTCTTAGTAGTATTCCATTGTACGAATATGCCACAATTTTTTAATCCATTATCTTGTTGACATTTGAACTGTTTCCCGTTTGAAGTTATGAAAGATTCTGCTTTGAAAATGTCTACACAAGTCTTTTTGTGTCTTGGCTAAATTCCTAGGAGGGAGCTCTTGGGTCACATGATGTATGTTTAACCTTGGAAAACTGTCTGGTGGCTTTTCAGAAAGTGGTTGCCCCATTTTACATTCCCACTAGCAATATACGAGAGTTCCAGCTGCTGCACATTCTTGCCAACCCTTGGTGTTGTCAGTCTTCTTTATTTTAGCAATTCTAAAGGGTTTGGAATAGTATCTTGCAGTGGTTTAAATTTGCATCTCCCTGATAACCATCCATTATCCCACCCCTGCATGCACACCCTCCCCCACACCGTTGCAGCCTAATTAAACCTCTTTCAGGTGTTTGAACATGCCATGCTCTTGCTAATCTCTGGCCTATAATCACAATTCTCATCTCATAACCTGGAATTCCTTCCTCACCCTCTGCTACTCCCTTCTTAACTGGCTAGTTCTAAATACCTTTCATGTTTCAGCTTGAACAGTGACTACTTCAGGAAGTCTTCCAAGACCCCCTTCTTGCTTCCACAGAAGGAATGTTTTATTGTGATATTGCGTTTAATTACGTGTCTTCCCTGCTCTAGCCTGAGGGCTGGGGCCAGGTCAGTCTTGCTCACCTCCTGTATCCCTGGAGTCTAGAACAGTAAATACTTGTTGAATGGAAGATGGAATAAATAAGGGAAGGCCTCAGAGATGAGGTAATATTTCAGCTGACCGCTGAAAAATGAGCAGGATTGAAATTACCCAGTGCGCAGACGGAAAAAATATTCTAAGCTCAAAGGCAAATTCTTAAGAAGCAGGAAATAGCATGTGGCTGAGGATACCCATGTGACTCAGCATGGCTCAGAGTAAGGTGTGAGGCAGGGTGGACAAGTAGGGAGGAATCAGAGAGCAAACGCCTGGATGTGCCAGGCAAAGGAGACTGGTCTGTACCTTTTGACACTGAAGTGTCACTGATGCATTTTAAAGCCAAGAAGCAAAGCGGGCAGATTCACCTAACTCTGCTGGGGAAATGGAAGACACCTGGAAGTGGCAGAGCTGGGAACAGGAAGACCAGCTGGAG